ATGAGTTCCAGGCAGAATGATAGGAATTAGATTGATAGTAGTACCATTAGTAGTATGAAATCTTTGCGAAATAATACATGTTTGTAGGATGAAATAATGAAATCATTTAAAAACATTTTTGCCCAGCTGCTGTAATTCAGTGGTTGAGCATTGACCCATGCACCAGGAGGTCATGGTTCCATTCCCAGTCAGTGTACATGCCTGGTTTGTGGGCTCTAACCCCAGTAGGGGGCGTGCAGGAGACAGCTGATCCATGATTCTCTCTCATCATTTATGTTTCTCTCTCCCCCACTCCCTCCTACCCTTCCTCCCTTCCTCTGTTTTCAAATTTGAGCCCAGTTAGCCACCAGGAATCCTAGGTAGTTATGTTCTTTTTCACAGTCAACACATCTGAACTGGGAAAATTAGCTTTAAGAGAGCAGGAAACCCATTTATGATTAAAACTCTCAGCAAAGTGGCAATAGAGTGAGCATATTTCAACATAATAAAGGCCATACATGACAAGTCTGCAGAAAACATCATACTCAATGGGGAAAACCAAAAGCATTACTCTTAAAATTAGGAACAAGACAGGGATGTTCACTTTCCCCACTCTTATTCAACATAGTACTGGAAATACTAGCCACAGCAATCAGACAAGGCAAAAAAATAAAAGGCATCCAAATGGAAAAGGAAGAAGTAAAACTGTCATTATTGGCATGATACTCATTGTATATATATATAACTCTAAAGATTCCACCAAGACACTACTAGAAGTGATCAATAAATTTAGTAGTGTCAGGGTACAAAATAAATATCCAGAAATTGGTTGCCTTTTTATACAGCAATAATGAACTTTCAGAAAGGGAAACTAAGACAACAGTCCCATTTACAATTGCATCAAAAAATAAAAAACCTAGGAGTAAGTTTAACCAAGGAGGTAAAAGACCTATACTTGGAAAACTATAACACACTAAAGAAAGAAATTGAAGAAGATACAAATAAATGGATGCACATCCTGTGGTCATGGATAGGAAGAGTTAACATTGTTAAAATAGCCATACTACCCACAACAATCTATAGACTTAACACAATTCCTATCAAAATACCAATGGCTTATTTCATAGAACTAGAACAAAATAGTCCAAAATTTAATATGGAACCACAAAAGACCCTGAATGGCCTCCACAATCTTAAAAAAGAAGAACAAAGTTGGAGGTATCACCCTACCTGGTATACTACAAGGCTATAGTAATCAAAACAGCATGGTACTGGCATAAAAAAAAGACATATGGATCAATGGAACAGAACAGAGAGCCCAGAAATAAATCCAAGCCTGTATGATTAATATTTTACAAAGGAGATAAGAACATAGAATGGGGTAAAGACAGTCTATTTAATAAATGGTATTGAGAATATTGGACAGATAAATGCAAAAACAATGAAACTAACCCACTTTCTTATACCATATACAAGAATAAATTTTAAATGGATTAAAGACTTAAATATAAGACTCAAAACTGTAAAATTCTTAGAAGAAAACAGACAAAATTTTGGACATTTCTCTTAGTAATATTTTTTTTCTGATATATCTCCTCGGCCAAGGAAAAAAAAGAAAAAATAAACATATGGGACTACATCAAAGTAAAAATATTCTGCACAGCAAAGGAAACCATGAACAAAAGAAAAAGACAACTCACTGAATGAGAGATAATTTTCTCCAATGATACATCTGATAAGGATTGTGGGCTCTATCATCATTTATAATTATTATTATTATTACAATTTATAATTATTTTAATATATGTATTTTATTGATCTCAGAGAGAAAGGGAGAGTAAGATAGAGAGAAACATCAATGAGGAGAATCATTGATCGCCTGCTTCCTGCATGCCCCCAGCTTGGGATCTAGCCCACAATCCGAGTATGTGCCCTTGACTGGAATCAAACCCAGGACCCTTCAGTCTGCAGGCTGACTTTGTCCACTGAGCAAAACCAGCTAGAGCAATATCCACTACTTATTTATTTATTTATTTATTTATTACCAGAGGCCTGGTATACGAAATTTGTGCACTTGCTGAAACCGGTTTGGCTCAGTGGATAGAGCATCGGCCTATGGACTGAAAGGTCCCAGGTTCCATTCCAGTCATGGGCATGTACCTTGGTTGCGGGCACATCCCCAGTAGGGGGTGTGCAAGAGGCAGCTGATCGATGATTCTCTCTCATGGATGTTTCTAACTCTCTATCCCTCTCTCTTCTTCTCTGTAAAAAATCAATAAAATATATTTTTTAAAAAAAAGAAATTTGTGCACTGGGTGGGAGGGAGGGGGGTTGTCCCTCAGCCCAGCCTGCACCCTCTCCAATCTGGGACCCCTCAGTGGATGTCCGACTGCCAGTTTAGGCCCAATCCCTGTCTTAAACCAGCAATCAGACATCCCTCTCACAATCCAGGACTGCTGGCTCCGAACCACTTGCCTGCTTGCCTGCCTGCCTGCCTGCCTGCCTGATTGCCCGTAACCACTCCCCTGCCAGCTTGATTGATGCCTAACTACTCCCCTGCCAGCCCAGTTGCCCCCAACTGCCCTCCCCTGCAGGCCCAGTCTCCCCCCAACTCAGAAGGTCCAGTCTCCCTGCAACTGCCCTCCCCTGCTAGCCTGGTCCCCCCTCCCAACTGCCCTCCCTCTCCTGCAGGCCTGGTTGCCCCCAACTGCCCTCCCCTGCTGGCCTGGTCACCCCCAACTGCCCTCCCCTGCCAGCCATCTTGTGACCACATGGGGGTGGCCATCTTGTGCAAGGGTGTGACGGTCCATTTGCAGATTACTTCTTTATTATATAGGATTATTATTTTAAATCCTCACCTGAGGATATGTTTTTTCATTAATTTTATTTTTAAAATCTATTTATTTTAAAAAATATATCTTTATTGATTTCAGAGAGGAAGGGAGAAGGAGAGATAGAAGCATCAGTGATGTGAGAGAATCATAGATTGGCTGCCTCCTGCACACTCCACACTGGGGCTGAAGCCCATAAGCCAGACATGTGCCCTGAATGGGACTCAAACTGTGACCTCATGGTTCATAGGTTGACTCAACCACTGAGCCATGCTGGCTGGGCCCAATATCTTCAATTTTTAAAGAACTCATACAACTCAACACCAAGAAAACAAACAATCCAATTTAAAAATGTACAAAGGACTTTAATAGACACTTCTCCAAAGAGGACATGCAGATGGCCAAAAGACATGAAAAGATGCTCAATGTCATTAATCAGAGAAATGCAAATTAAAACCACAATAAGATATCACCTCATAGCTGAAAATGACTGTTATTGATAAGTCAACAAACAACAAGTGTTGGTGAGAATATGGAGAAAATGGAACCCTTGTGCACTGTTGGTGGGAATGCAGATTTGTGCAGCCACTATGGAAAAAAAAATATGGAGGTTTCTCCAACAATTAAAAATGGAACTTCCTTATGACCCAGTGATTCCACTTCTGGGAATATATACTAAGAAACCCAAAACACTAATTCGGAGGAAAATATGCACCTCTATGTTCATTGCAGTGTTATTTGCAATAGCCAAGCTATGTCATCAATAGATGACAAAAAAGTAGTGGTATGAATATATAGTGAAATATTACTCGGCAATAAAAAATAGAGAAATATTTCCATTTGGAACAGTATTGATGGAATGAGAAGGTATTATGCCAAATGAAATAAGCCAAACAGTGAAAGACAAATATCATGTAATTTCACTTATGTGTGGGATCTGAAGAACAATATACATGAACAAATAAATCAGAAATAGACTCAAAGATAGAGAACATACTAAGCCAGAAGTACAGGGGTGGGGTAGTGGGGTGGGGGGTGGGGAACTGGATGAAAAAAATGAAGGGTTTGAGAAGTACAGGTGATAGTTAAAAAATAATCATGGGGCCGAAACTGGTTTGGCTCAGTGATAGAGCGTAGGTCTGTGGACTGAAAGGTCCCAGGTTCGATTCCGGTCAAGGGCCTGTACATTGGTTGCGGGCACATCCCCGGTAGGGGGTGTGCAAGAGGCAGCTGGTCGATATTTCTCTCTCATTGACGTTTCTAGCTCTCTATCTCTCTCTCCTCCTCTCTTTAAAAAATCAATAAAATATATTAGAAAAAATAATCATGGGGATGTGAAGTACAGCATAGAAAATATAATCAATCATATTTTAATAACGAAGTATGGTACCTGGCAGCTACTGGAATTATTTGTAAAGCATATGATTGTCTAACCACTATGCTGTACACCTGGAAGTAATACAAAATAATATTGAATGTAAACTGTAATTGAATAAATACAACTTAAAATTTTTTAAAAATAGCAGGAAAAAGGAGCAAGAGGAGATGGAGAGACCAGGCCACACCACAAGATTTCTTGGGGAAGGAAAGGGATTGTTTGGAGCATGGGTAAATTTAAGCACAAACTGAATGAATTTTCTTTGTGAGATTGATGAGTTTCTCTACAGAGGTTCCCAATGTGAGAGATGAATTATGTCAGCTGTTTATATGAAAAGAAATAGAACTTACATACATGCATAATCCTTGCTTTTGAGTTCATTATTTTATGGACTACGACAGTGTTGTTTTTCAATGAGGACAGAACAAGGAGAATCCGATTTAAATGACAGAGATTTAGGCCACTCCCAAGGACACAACTTCTTATATTGTTAAGAGACCCTGGGGGACCCTGAGATGAGTTTTGAAAGATCCATTCCCCTGAGAGCTCTAATAGGATCAAAGCAGGCCTAGCCCAATCTGCCACCTTTTGATTACACTAACGGAGGTTTCTTTTCCAGAAGGCGGTGGGCTAGATTCGAAGGCCTTTCCTTCCCTGGCAGCGCCCTAGTGTCCGTGTGCCGTGCTGGGAGGAGCTGGTGGACAGAGGGCGAAGGGACCTAGCAGAGCGAGCTGTGAGTGTCGCGGTCCCTTTAAGGGAGGCAGGGGCGGTGGCAGTGGCAACGGGCGCGCGCTCCGCCAGTTTCCTCGCGGTCCCGCCCCCTTCCCGTGAGGCCTAGGGGAGTGGTCGGACCTCTGGCGGCGACGGGTAGAGGAGTGGGGTGGGGGGCGGGGGGCATCATGGCTCCGCGAGGTTGGCTGCGTTCCACCCTCCTCCGGACTGTTGGCAGCAACGGCCCCCGGGCCCGCAGGCTCTCTGGGCCTCTCTGGTTGCTCCTCTCGCTGGGCGTCTTTGGCTGGGCCAGGGCTTCGGAAGGCGCCGGCCGAGTGGTGAGAGCCATGGACGAGGAGATCGTGTCCGAGAAGCAAGCTGAGGAGAGCCACCGGCAGGACAGCGCCAATCTGCTCATTTTCATCTTGCTGCTCACCCTCACCATTCTCACGATCTGGCTCTTCAAGCACCGCCGGGCCCGCTTCCTTCACGAAACCGGCCTGGCAATGATTTATGGCAAGTGCCTCATCCCCGTGTCCGCCCGCTGGCAGCCTGGTCTCCCCCGGTCCTGCTGGGCCTATGTGGAGTTCTGATTCCTTCCGTTTTCTGCCTCTCCCCCTCCCCCAATCCCTGATTCTCTTTCTCGATCCCTTTTTTCTGCTGTGCTCCCTGTTTCTCTACCTCACCCCATTTCCTCCTCAGCCTCACACCCCATTTTGCCTGCCTCGAACCGCCCTTTCCTCCGCCTGTCCACATATTTTTCCCTCTGACCCCACCCCTTTTTCTTCTGCACCCCCCTGCCTCTACCTCCCAAGCTGGGGACCTGGGACTGGGGACTGGAAGGGAGTGGGTTCGGTGTCTCTGATTGGGTTGGGGACTGGGGGAGGGGAAGACATCCTAAGGATCCTTTACTCCTAGGTCGGCAGTTTGTTGCTGCAACCATACCTCTACTGCTCAGAACCTGGTGTTGTTTTGGAGCCAGAGTCCACCTTTACCCATCACCCAGTTATTGCTACCCCCTGTCCTTTCGTGATGGAAATTGAAGACCTTTTACTACCCTGTAGCCCCAGTAAAAACCGAACCGCTAAATAAGCTAAAGAGGGCTTAGGCATTTTGTACGACGTTTGCAAAATCTGATATGCATAGATGTATGGTTTACCCTTTCAATTCAAGCATACCGAGAGGAAGACAAGGAAGAGTTAAAGATCTTCCAGCAGTGTGTTGTACTATATGATGATAAGGACAATTAAGACAAACAGTAATTAGGAACCCCACACACATGCAGTGTGACTTGCTGGTGGCATAAGGTTATTTTGACAGACTATTGAGTAAATGGCTTCAGTTCTTGTGTCTTGGTATGCTTTTTCTTGAGGTTATTTATTTATATTTTTTGGTCCTGAGGGGAGATGGCAAAATCAAACCATGGGCATAGAGCATTTTGTCCTGTGCTGGGGCCTCATGAGAGGAAAAGATGTGTATTGCTGTTTTAAGCTAAGATGCCTAGGAGGGTGTATGTGGCCAAAGAGATTCTGGAGGACAAACGATTCTTCCTGTGCGGTATATGAGTGAATATTACCTTCATTGGGAACAGGCTTAAACTGATGAGCTTGTTGAACTTCATTTCTCAGACTTGCATAAAGGTAGAAGAAGCCTTGACACAAAAAGATATTTCCCTATGCATACAACCCCATACACCGTTTCTCAGTAAATACAGATTTCTGGAATGTGTATCTCAAGGGAAGCAAAGAAATATAGCTGTGTGCATCAAGAAAATGTGTGAACTCAGGTCTATTTTTCCTTTATAAGATAATACAATTCTAAGCCTGTGTGCAAAATATCTCTGCTTCCTAGGATTCTTAATTTTTAGATATCTTAGATGGTTTTCATATTCCTTTTTTTTTTTTTTTTTGCATTTTATTTGTAGCACCCCTTAAGCTAAATTGGCTGGATAAGCTATGTGCATCTCTATATAATTTCTCTGGAAAACACTGTGTGCTTTATTTACTACCCTGAAAAAGCATTTTAGGCACAGAAATACAAAGGAATATAAGATCCCTACCTCCAAGGAACTTATCCCTTGTTGAGTAGGTCATATAAAGAAAATAATTGCATCTTAAATTTGATTAAATGCCAAATGAGAGTATGGTGCTACAATAAGGAACTCAGCACAGAAACCTCTTCCAATAAGAAATAGTGTGACATAGTGGTTAAAGGTACAAAGTTTTAGACCAGACATCTGTAGGTTTTTTTTCTGTAAAAGTCCAGATAGTATTGTCAGCTCGGTTTCACATATTGTAGATCTCTGTGTCTCTGTTGCAGTTTTTTCTTCTCCTTCTTCTCTCTTTCTCCTCCTACTCCTTCTTCACAAACATTTAAGAAAGTTAAAATCATTCTTAGCTTTTGGGTCATATAAAAACAGAATGACACTGTAGTTTGCCAGCCCCTGCTTTAAAATCAGACCTGGGTTACTGTCCCATGCTCCAATAGTTGTTTGTGGTCTTAGGCAAGTCCCTTGCCCTCCTACAGTGTCATCTATAAATCGGGACCAATGATAGTAGGATTATTGTGAGGAAGAAATGTTTTTAATTTAGTACCTGACTCCTAAGTAAGTACTCAATAAATTATAGCTATGATTCTATTATTATTGCTGTTAAAATTTGCATTTCTTTCAGGTTAGGCTCAGAACTGTTGTTTTAATTGCTCAGTCTCATAAATTAAGAGGCAAACAATATTTTTAAAATATATTTTTATTGATTTTAGAGAGGAAGGGGAGGGAGAGATAGAAACGTCAATGACGAGAAAGAATCAATGACTGGCTGCCCCACCCTGGGGATCAACCCTGCAAACTGGACATATGCCCTAATTGGAAATCAAACTGCAACCTCCTGGTTCATAGGTCAACACTTAACCACTGCATCACACTGGCCAGCCAACTGTATTAAAAAAAAAAATCAAATAGAGACTTAGAATTGCCTTGAATATATTTGCTCTTTGATATAATTATCCTCATCTACTTCTTGAGCTGAAGTAAAAAAATGGGATTACTAATTGCATTTCCTGATGTTTCTGATTTCTAAGTTAATAAAAAAGAATGGGACACCTGAGTGTTAGTATTTTGTGAAGGAAAAACAAGGATATCTCTTGTGGAATATAAAGTGGGAAAGTGGTTGATTTGCCACAACTTGGCATTCTTTTTTTAAAATATATTTTTATTGGTTTCAGAGAGGAAGGGAGGAGAGAAACATCAATGATAAAAGAGAATCAGTGATCGGCTGCCTCCTGCACACCCCATACTGGGGATCAAGCCTCCAACCCGGGCATGTGTCCTGACTACCCGGAATTGAACTGTGACCTCCTGGTTCATAGGTCAACACTCAATCACTGAACCATGCCAGTTGGAATTGGCATTCTTTAGCTGTCCCATTTTCTTACTACAGACTGTGGGTATTGTGGAGGAACAATCTCCTGAGTAATTCCCAAATCCGGTTTGAGAATAGATAAGATTGAGTCAAAGTAGTTTCAATGCTATGGAAATTGAGGTTTTCTAATCCTAATTACTGTCTGCCATCTACCTTTTCTTACAACTCTTATACCATCCTGGCTATTATGGTAATATATGATTTTAATACCTTTCATTTTCAGTTTGATTTCCAGGTGAAAAGGCTTTTTACTCTAGGAATGTCCAGACCTTTAAAATTTAGCCTACTGATGATTTTATTTCTGTGATGTCTGTTTATCTACCTAAGTCCTAGGGAAATGCTTTTTAAAATAAGTCTCTCCTTTATGTTTTTGAGAAGCAAGATTTAAAAACTTATTAAATTGTCAATGCGGTTAGTTTCTATAATGTCAAAGCACCCAAGTGTTTTGTTCATTGGGATAGCTTGCTTAAGAAGCTTAAAAGTGAGTCACGAGTAGTAAAAATTGTCAGGGTAGTCAATTAAGTCTGAAAAGTGATCAGTCACTGCAGAGTACTTACAGAAGGTATAAAAAGCAAGACTGGGACAAAATATTTACTTTGCCTTAAACTTACAGCATCCAGAGTCCTGTACTCAATTAATGTGATTCATTAATAAATATTAAGTGCCTTTGATGTGTGAGTTATGGGAAATACATATGTGAGTCACGCCTGCCCACAAAGCACTTACAATCTAGCAGGCGTCTTCAAACTACGGCCCGTGGGCCACATGCGGCCCGCAGAGGAGTCTGATCCGGCCCGCCAGGTTTTTGGGGCAGTGAGCGCAGCCGAGGTGTTACAGTAGGAATTAGTAGTTCATATAGTCCGGCCTCCAGCTCTCTGAGGGACCGTGATCTGGCCCCCACTTTAAAAAGTTTGAGGACCCCTGATAGTGACTTAATAGGTAATGATTATTGAGCAGTACAATGTATTAGACACTGGTAGGCATTCAATAAGTATCACTTCATTTAAAGTTCATAACAACCCTGTGAGGTTGGTACTATTATCTTACCCATTTTACAGATGAGGAAATTGGGGCACGGAATGAATATATGTCTTGCTTGAAATCAAATAACTTGTAACTATTGAGCCAGGATTCAAGATCCATCACTCTGGCTCAAAAGCCTCATTTTCTTAGCCCTTGGCCACATTGCCTTATGTTAAAACAATAAAATTTAACTGTGAAGACAAAACAAAATAGTATTATGATCAATTATATTTGGTGAAACAGGTTGACTGAGAAATTATTTACCCTAAGGTTACAGACTAGAACTTGATGGAGCCAGAATTTATACATCTATATGATTACAAATGTATGCTTTTACTTCTATGCCATACTTTACTAAATTCCATGAGATGAAATATGTAGGGGGATAATACTGAAATTTGTAGGGATTTTGGAGGTGGATTGTGAAGGAAGGATTTGAGAGAATGGAGATATAAGCCACTGGAGAAGTTAGTACTGATGTGAGAGCAAGATGATTAGAAAATTATAATATCTTTGGAAAGGGAAAACCCAGATTTTAGTTCTGTCTTTGTTGCTTAATGCCAAATAATTTTGTGCAAGTCATTTATCCCCATTTTATAGATGAGGAAATAATGAGTGAGGGATTTATAATAGTATTGACTTCATAAGGTTATGAAGATAAACTGATATATGCAGTGACAGTTGGGATGGGATTGGCTCAAAGTTCCAGGTGAAAGGATTTTCCTGGAAAAGTAGTTGATTATTTCTGAGAAGGAATCTCATGAGAAGTTAGCTCATATTGAGCTGGAGAGGCTTGGAATTGAGACAGCTTATATCAAATGGCCTCCACCCAGCTTCTCAGAAACATAGGCAGTGAGATTGAGGGCTTGAGAAGGAGGATAAAGATTGGAGCATTTGTAGGACATAAACAGATGAATACTACTAAAAACATGTAAAGCTAACCAGAAGTGAACAAAACCATTTATTTTTTTGCCTCTCTTGAAATTCATTGAGCTTTTTTTTTTTTAAAAATATTAAAAAAATTTATTGATTTTGTACAGAGAGGAAGGGAGAGAGATAGAGAGTTAGAAACAT